ATGGAAAACTCTACAGACTGTCGGTTCACACCCCATCACAAGCCAGCAAAACACCCACGAAACAAAGAAAGGTCTGTCACAGCCAAAAAATACTCTATATATAATTTGGACCATTTCTCGATTTATGCGTGTCATCCTTGCGCAGGGGCCATGCTAATCTTCTTCTTCTTCTTCTTCTTCTTCTTCTTCTTTTTTTCTTTTTTTTTTTTTCTTTTTTTTTTTTAAAGAACAGGGCCTTATGGACCTGACTCCTTCTATTCTGGAGAGCGTCAGTCCGGTTCCTATTCCACTGGCAAGTCAGACAATGCATTACATTACAGCAGAAAAACTCACGCTTCCTCCCGTTTGGCCGAAGGACCCCTGAACAGCATTGATTAACTGTCAGCTTGCCATGACTCACTCTTTCCTCTCAGACCTGAAAAACCATCTCTGCCAGATAGTGCTATGTCACCTAGAAAAAGCTCGCCCATTGTTTCTGCTTGCGTTTGCTTTCCCCCTCATCAGCCCTGCCCATGAGTCAAGGTATTCCCTATTCAATTAAGCCTTCCCCCTACTTTTGAATGCTACAAAAACCTAACCCCTAACCCCTCAGCCATTGGATCTCACTGTTCCTTCTGGGCTGGGATTTAGGACTGTGTATCTGTTTCTTTTGAGTGATATCGAAGCCTGTTTTCCTTGTATCCTTACTCTAACATCCTCTGAGTCAACCTTTCCTCCCTTGCTCCGGCCTTCCGGTGGCGTACATCCATTCCCAGGCTGTTCCTCTACGGATGTGATGGTATAGGTTCGTCGTTTTTTCTTTGGGATACTGATCAGGAGGTGCCTTGCCCGTGCGCATCTATCTGCTGCCGAGCGCTTCTTCCTGAGTTTGAGTTGTGCCAGTCCTTCCAGCAGATGTGGTCGTCTCGTAAAACCGTAAAACAGCAACTTTCCCGTTCATCAACCATACCCTGCTGAACTAATCTTCTCTGTATCGTTCCAATTCTTACGGATGTCCCGAAGGACGCTTTCAACATTTTTCACATGTGGGCTATCAGACAGTTGCAGCACGCCAGTTGGTTACAGACCAACGTGAGCCTTCAGCCTCCTTTCAGAAGAAAGGGCTACGCTCTACAGTTGAGGCCAGGGCTCAGTTGGTTGAGCCTTGGGTACATGCTGTGTGAGGCCGACACATCACGGACTGGCGACGGGCCAATGAAAAAGCAGCATTGTCGTCACACATGCACTGCGAGCCAATGAGAATGCTGCGAACACTTGGAGGCTGGGTGGCTGCCTGAACGTGCCTAACTGCACGAGGCCCAGGCCAGTACCTGAAACTGGGCCTAGTCGCAGACACTTAGGGCCAGACTGAAGCTACTGGGTCCCCATACGCCTGCCCAGGCTAGCCAGCGGTGGGCACACTTTCCATGAAGGAAAGTGTGTGTCTGTGTGCCCCCTGGGCACGGGATTCTGGCCTGCCAAGGCAATGCGGCCACGCTGCTGCGTTGCCGGATGAGCGCTGCTCAGCGCTGTTAGGCTGGGGCGCATACGGGCACTGAGAGGTGAGAGGGCATTGCGGTTGCAGCGGGCGCACGGCGGCCATATCCGGGCAGCAAATGTGGATGCAGGTGACGGCGAAGGTGGTCTTCGGGTAGGAGGCGCATGCAGAGAAGATCAAGGTGTGATGAGGGGAG